GTTTATGTGTGTATATGTTTATATAGATATATATTTATTCGTTTTATGTGGAATTGCACTGCGAGGATTGCTTTTTTAAATGTTGTTGTACCTGGTGCGATGACAATAAAGGAATTCTATTATATTCTGTGTTTTTTTTAACGCTGTCACACTGAGTCATTATGATGATGAAATATGATTGAGGAGGGACGGTTTGAATATGATAAGAGAGGCACGAGTGTGTGTAAAGTTACCATGGTGACAGTCATTTTCTCCTCTGTCTCCATGACTGTCTGCCGTTTATTATTGTCATCTCACTTAAATGTGGGCTTTCACACATGATTGAGTGCACTAGAAAATACATAAAACAAAGAACAATTCATGCTCTCAATATTTGTTTACATTCTAATGGGTTGATGGACCTTTTTCACAGGAGACCGTTTTAATTCTCACAGCTCTGGAAGACTTTTCCCTTCTGGGGAGTGCGGCCAAAGAGCCACAAACACAAAGCCAGGGTACAACAAGTGGTGTCCATCAATTAAAGTCTTGTTGTATAATCTGTCATTAATCATGATTAATCAAAAGTATAAGATACTAGTATTTAGTCGTTTTGGGAGAGAGAAAACCAAGTTGTAACAAAGAACTGAGGACAGAGAAATTGAGTTTTTTTTACTATATTATACAAGTTTCCGACACTAAAGCACGGACAGAGCTGCTGTCACAGAGAGCCGCAGAGACTCCCCTCTGTATGATGTGCACTAACATATGTTCATTTGGCAGGATTCATACTGCAGCACTATCTGTTCCTACAGTGGAGACCCTCTCCGCTACCTCACATCCTGTGTAACGTTAAGAAACTGGAGCATGATTTAAAGAAATGCCTTTCCTTCATTTTTACCACACCTAAAGAGCGAGTGCAGAACATTGGTCATGGATCAGGTGTTCTGTTACAGTGAAGGTTTTAACTGATGTCCACTGCTCTCCAGTCAGTGAGGACATGTAGCTTGAGGCACGTAGGCATATAGCTTGAGGCAGTTCCTCGACTTTCTTTGCTCTTTCACTGCCAAGCAAATCATGGTAAACATCGGCACGAAATTATGGGAGGACGATGGGGTCAAACTTGGTAATTTGATTCTTTTTTTTTTATGTATTAAAGTGTCCAGATTCATTTTGAGCGTTAACGTGTTAACGGTGACAGCCCTAACACACACACACACACACACACACCACACACACACACACACACACACACACACACACACACACACACACACACACACACACATAAATGGAATGCAGCCATGCGTAATGTCATCAGTTCACCTGGTGAATGACAAGTTAAAAGGTCTGCTGTGGGGAAGGGCTCCTAAGTGTAGAACCATATTGAGAGTTGAATGCTTGAAGACAAGGGTTTGACTGAGGTTCCCCTGAGAGGACTCTGACTTTGAAATGAATTCAACAACAAGAGACAGAACGCCAGGACAACGAAAACATTTACCGCGTCCCTACAATTAACACATGCAACTTTGTAGTTTAAAATAATTTAGAAATACTATGGTGCTAATAGCATATAGTGTACGCTAACATTTTAAGCAAAAAGCAGATCAAATCTTTAGCTCTACTTATGTTAAAATCATGTTTAATATACAGTATTTTCAAATAAATCTGTTGTTGTGGATATAAAATGTATTTAGCCTTGATTTAGCTAATGGGATCACATTATTTTACAAAGCAATAGTTTGCGTGTACGGTGAACTGTTGCTAAATCTACTCTACTGAGTGCCACAGTAAGTGAATCAGACTTATATTATATTTAGATGTAGGCCACCTCCACCAGACCATGTTGATTTCACAGTCACATGGTCTGCAGAACTACAGTATGAGCCCCAGATAAGACGACATTTGACCATTTAACCAACAGGAAAGTCAACTGTAGCTGTTTGTTACCTGGCCATTTATCAGGCCACACTATGGTGATGCTGTGTTTGGACATTATGACTATCTGGGAGACAATGTGTTCCACAATGGTCACAGGTTTTCACATGCTTTTTCTCATGTCTTGTTTTTTGTGTAGTGGATGAATCAAATATGAGATATAATATTTTCTCACATATTTTTTGTTTCGATTGTAAACGCTGTTAGTAACAAGTATATAACAAAAGATATAACAAGTTTTACACTTCTTATATATTGTATGAGTTTTCAGTTCAGGCCTGGTAGTGTCCAATTATCTCAATGGATTAAGGCTAACACTTGTCTGTACTCCATAGTCTCAATAATAATGTGCACTTACCAGCAGTCATGAGTAAAAGAGTTGAGATGGTCACAACAGTCCTGATATCCATAACAGAGCTATGAACAACAAGTAAAGGTGGAAGACAGACAGGCAGACAGACAGGCAGGAGGAGAACCAACAACACAAATCAGATCAAGACGCCAGCAACAGAAAAACAGATGAGAAAGGAAGCGGCGCTCTCTCTCCGTAACGTGAATCACTTCATCTCTCCTGCTGCTGCAGACTTGCACATTTCCTCTGTTCAAAGGGAGCATGCAGCAGAGAGGTAGAGGGGGTGGGGGAACGAGAACTGATGATAAGAAGGGAGGATAGAAGAACAGGTATGACGAAGAGCGAAATGGAAGAGTTACGTGACTCTGAACTAGATCTACTTTTTTTGTCAGGGGCTGTGAGCTGAACTGTACGATGGAATCAAAACCTGTATGTGTGATACAGCCAACCAAATACTCATCATGAAAAACACATGTATCACTGCAAATACTTACCATAGCAAAGCTTAAGATTGTTTACTCACTACATGTGTAGAAACACCACCTAGTGCTAATATTGCGTCCAGCTTAACTATTCCCAACATTTATTTTTACTTGCAATAGTTTGATTAAAGGTTTGTATTGGTTAAATACTGTTTACCCAATTGAAAGGGAATATTAAGGTTAATGTTTAGGATACATTTCAAAATGAACATTATCAAGTAGCTCAGCTTTATTGATATTTCAAATGAAATTCCTGCAGACATTTTACCCTTCTCCTGTGACTTTGTTGTAGATCGTTTTAACCGTAAACTACCATTGACAACAACAACCATTGAGACAGCTGAAACATTTCTTGTGACCTGAAACCACCTGGAAATAAATGAAATCAAAAAAAGAAAATAACAATTATGTTTGAAAAGCAAAAAGAGACTAAGAAAGAATAAATGATTGAACAGCTGAAAATGTGCTATAAGGCCATCAAACTTACAAGTCACTCATAACTTAAAAACGGAACCATCCGAAAAGAAATGTTCTCAACCAAAGATCACTTTAATTAACCCTGCTCTTACAAAATGTATGTACTATGTTTGCCAATTCCAAGTGTGAATAATGTACAGAACACTAACATCAAAAATATAAAAACAAATGTTTTTAAGGTGTACCCATGAATTTAAAATGAAGGGTTATTTCCCAATTCAAACTATTTTATTTAACAGTTTTTTCTATATCGTAAAAATCTCTTATGGAATTGTTTTCTTAACATCGTAAACCCCTTGCTTATTTCCAGCTGCCTTAGAGACAGCCTGGTGAAACTACAGAGCAGCATCCAGTCTGCCATTTTTCAGAATCAGAATACCTGTATTCGTCCCGTAGAGGGGACATTTACATAGTTACAGCATAAGTGAAGACAGAGACACACAAATTAACACTATTAGAAAGTACATGAACATAATATTTCAAATGTAATAACATGTAGAGAAGATGTTTTTAATAAGTTGATTGATTTTTATAAATGTTGGTTTATTGATTTTATTCATTCTCACAGTTTTTTGAAGTATGAAAAGACAGACAACTTCTAAGTTGAACTATTTATTGTAAAGAGAGCAAACGATATATATTACTTGGCCAAGGACTCATCACGTCTTTGGGAATCACAGGCAGCAAATCTGTAATCTGTAACCACCAAATCCGTCAAATCAAATCAAGTTTTATTTATATAGCACATTTATAAACGATTTTTGGTCGAGCCAAAGTGCTGTACATAAAATAAAAATAGCCTACAGTAGAGACACTTTACAGCAAATACAACAGCACAGATTGTTCAGAATATCAGTATGAGAAAAACCACACCCTCTATCCTTAGACCCTCACATCGTACAAGGAAAAACTGCCAGAGAAAACCCCACAGTTTAAAGGGGAACATGGGAGAAACCTCAGGGAGAGCAACAGAGGAGGGATCCCTCTCCCAGGACGGACAGACGTGCAATAGATGCCGTGTGTAAATCGAAGAGATAATACATTTTACAGCATATAGACCGAATGTTAGGAAATGCATGTGTCTGTAATAAGAAGATGAATCCACGAGGATGTCAGCTACAATCCTGTGGAAGCCATCAGGGAAGCAGCATGACGAGACCCAAGGCAGGACCGCAGAGACAGGTTCAGCCACGACCCGAAGTCCACGACTTAATCCAGAACTCGGGATAGAGGATCCAAGACACAGGACTACAGCAAGAGGATCAGCCTCGACTCCGGATCCCGGCGTAAATATAGATAGTCCAGAGCCTCGAACCTCGTGCGACAATACATTTTATTACACAGGGCGTTGCCCGTACATTTTTGATTGGTCAAGACTAGCTGAAGAGATACCGCGGTTTAGACTTGGTTCTCTTTGGTTGGTGCGCAGACTCAGATAGAGTCTCTTGGCAACACGATCCTCCAATCAATATTCAGCCGGCCTGTGGAAGTCCCTCCCTACTCTGGCACCATCATACATAATTTGTTTTGATGAAGCTTCTACAGAAAAGTGGAATCTTTGTTATACTGATTCCCAGCTATGCGTGGGCGCGGAGCTAACCCAGGCGGCCAAGGCCATAGCCTCAATAACTCATTGTTTCTACAGTGCCTGCATCTGGCTTCTGCTACTTTCTTCTGACTATTCCCTTCCTTGGTATCTAACCCATCAGAACCTGGGATTCTATAGTCATAGCAATCTCATGAGCACAATAAGCATATCATGTAATAATAAGAATCAGTCTTGTAATGTTATATAAAAATAGACTCCACAAGTATACCAATCCGTCTCCAGTTTAGCTATTTATTTAAGATTGTAAATTACATCAGATGTAGACAGGAGCCAGCTCTCTGTTCTACTCTGTTGTACTAAGTGCTGCTTTTGATTTCCAATAACAATCTTATTGGCATTTGTGGTATTGGCTTAAATCGTACTTTACTGTTTTTTGTTTACATGGATGAATGGTCCTTTAGGATGAATTGTGGTGTCACCCAAGGCTCAATGTTAGATCCTACACTTTTTTAATCAGTATATGCTTCGAACTTGATACACGGCATACGTTTCCATACTGTAGTCCTACATTGCCCTGTTTCCTGATGACTCTGAAACAATTATGCCCTTTTAAAATGCATTTTAGAATATTCTTCAGCCAAAACAGGACAAAACCAAACTTTGGATGATTGGTTCTGGAAACTGAAACTGCAATAAAAACCATGTAAACTAGTTGAGAACATTTCAATTTGATTCAGAACAGAACCACAAGAGTCTCTCTCAAGTCAGCGCAGAAAATATAATGCATGCTTGAATTACCTGTATGATGTTTTTTTGTAATGCTCAACTTCTGTGGCCTCCCGCACAAGAATATATTGCAACTGAAACATAGCATCTTATCTGAAGAACAAGCTGTTTTTAGAACGTAGCACGTTTCAACAAATCACAATCGTGAGAATCTTGAGCGAGAAATACAGCGACCATCAGATGGAGAAACACCACAACTACTCTGAGTGATACAGTAGGGTGTGGAGAGACACTCGGTTGATGTGAATTAATAAGCAAAAAATTGGCACAAACGTTGTCAAAATAATGAGGGGTTAAATAAAAAGACAACAATAACTTATGCAGGTGCATCTCAGACCTGGTAATGAGGAGAAAATCGGCCTTTATTACAACAAATGCAGCGTTGCTCCTGCTGGGGGACAACGCTTATTAACATGCCCCAATGTTATTAAGCCTAGAGCCCCCCATAAAATAAGTCTGGCTAATATTTTTTTTAAAACTCTGAAGGCCTTTATCTCATTTCGGGTTAAGTTACAGTCATCATGTTATATGGAGTATTTTGCCTAAAATGTTGAGGACAAAAACCGAACAAGCATCATTGGAATTGGCCTCTTAATCATCTCACTGCTCCCGCCCCCCCACAACAGGGGGGTCCACAGTAAAAAAAAGTAACCTAATGAAATGAATGTCTCATTCTGATAACATGAGCCCTTTGAGCTGCAGCTCCCCTGCAAGAGAAACATCTTCTCTGACTCATCCGAGCTCTGCTTCTTTACCTTCTGTCACTCTCCTTTTCTTTCATCCTCCGCCTCTGGGTTACGGAGTCGTACACTTCGCCTTCCCCCCCCCCCCTTCAACCTCAGAGCAGTATCCAGTTCTCTCACACCCGTTGAATAAATTGTAGGTATCAAAGTCCTCCTCTTTTTGTTGGCCCTGTGTTTACTGCCAGGATGTCGTGGTGTTGAGCTATACCAGGACTGTGTCATGCAGCAGTCAAACAGAACAAGATAAAGTGTTTTGTTTAAGTTTATGTTTCATTATAGTTTTCATTCGGTTTTCTTAAACTCAATTATAATGTAATTATCACAGCTATATTAAATGATATTCTTAGTTTAAAATCGCAACATCTGCAAGAAACAGCATCTGAGGGCTTCTTAACATTTAACATAGTATCATACCCACTTAACGGGAAGAAACAAACCATTTTTAGCAAAACGAAACATAAGGGTAATAACAAAGGCTCTGAATTAGCCCTGAGTGAAAAATGCTAACACCCTTAGCACACGTTAAAATACCCTTATTACTTATCGTATCTGCACAAACAAGATATCGATTAGCAAGCTGAGATCGGTTAGCGTCTCGCAGCGGAGAAACTGTGACGCGCTGGGACGACTGGGACTGTGACGGCTGCTAGTGGAGCCTCGCAGCAACTCTGCTTTCTGCACCACAATCTAGTGCTGCTGAATTTGAGTGAGACTCAAATATCAGAAGTTCAGAACAAGTTTTAGTAGTTTTTATTTTATTTTTACTTTATTTACTTTACTCAGGGTCACAGAGAGGAAACCAGTTTTAAGATGTTGAAAAGTTCATTAAACATAAAAAGGCATTTCAAAGAAGTTGTGTTATTCTACATTTTGACACCAAGATTTTCTGATTTGATTGCAAATGTATATCGGTTCCAAATATCAGTTATCGGTCTCCTTGATTACTAATAATCGGTATCGGCCTTGAAAAAGCCATATCGGTCGATCCCTAATTCTATTGGCTCTAACGGTTCAAAAGAGATGTCAATCATCAAAATCGACCAATTTCCACCCAAATGACCCCAGAGGTGTTTTTTGTTGTTGCTAAACCTCTCTAAAAAGGTCAAATGTCACTGTAAACTCATCTAGAGACTCTGCACCGTGCTCTGATGCTGTTGCTTTATGCTTTATGAACGTGGACAACAGAGAAACATATTC